TATATATATATATATATATATATATATATAAACTGCGACTTAACAAATGTATTTACCTTTTAGAACTATTACTCGATTCAATTTGATATTTCTTAAGTATCATGCAATCAAAGGTGGATATATATTGTTTTAACATTTTGTTTCGAATACTTGATTACAACAGGGTACTACCGGAGTCTATGCGATGGCTCGTGTCAAATGGGAAAGTTCAAGATGCAGAAACAATTCTATATACTGCAGCAAAACTAAACAGTGTAATTTTACCCGAAAACATCTTGTCTATGGAGTATACTAAACCAACAAATCAAGGTAAGCGATATGACATTTATCATATACATCGTATTGCCCGGCCTTTTAACGCTATGAGGAACTCGATAAGCGAGCGATAATTTTCCCAATCCCGCCCGGCCCTGTTTGACCATATGTTTGGAGATATCAGAATTTTGCTGTTATGTTGCGAATATTACAGGCTGTCGACTGACCTACCTCGCCCACTTGCGAAAACACATACAGACACCTGGCTTGTGATTGACAGTAGACAACCTTGCCGCTGATTATTTATTGAAATTAATGAGAGACAAGCCATGTTGTTGTTGGCCAATAAGTACTTAGAATCAACTGGAAATTAAAGAATAATTTTCATCAATGTTGAAGCGGGAGAGTCGTCACCAGCGCACGCGAGGGAATTGAGTCCCAAGCGACGATAAAAACACGCTAAAACGGAAAGGCTCATGGGTAGAAGCTTGTTTGTAAACGATGACACACAATGGCCATCTGACGCATGCGCAGGTGACGACTCTCCCACTTTAATGTCATTCTATCGCCTGTATACAATGTTGATTCTGATTATAGATGAGAAATCAAATGAAGACCACAGTGCCACACCTCGGAATGATGGTCAAAGCATAGATGTTGTAAGAGATAATGCCAACGACGCAGAAGGGGATCGGGAGGCGGTGGTAGCTGCCGTAGATGGCGAAACAGACATCGGTAACTCAAAGCTGGAGACAATATCAGAAGACCCAACTTTCACGTTCTTTGATTTACTCAGAACGCCGACGATGGCGCTGCACACTCTGATAATGAGCCTTTCATGGTAAGCGTGTCCACATGGACAATTCAAGACAAGATGTAGTTACAGGTCCGTAGATACTCAGAGCCCTACTATTTTTTTCGCTAATATTATTATATTATATATCTAACGCTGATAATGATTTTCCTAATTCCATGACACTTATTCTTGCATGCATTATATGCTATGATAAATTGCCACCCCATTAAAAAGTGACATTTCATCATAAACACATGACATATACGGTTCATTTTGTTATAGGTTTATATGTAGTTTGGTCTACTACGGACTGTCTTATAATACTGCTAATTTTGGAGTGAATGTGTATACATTGTTTTTTCTCACCGGATGCGTGGAAATTCCTGCATATGCTCTCAGTATGATTGTGATCGTTCGGTGAGTACCAGGTCCGATGATCGGTGTAGACCCTAGCTAATCATTTGTTTCTACGTATATGCAGCTTAATTTCACATTAAAAACGAGAGAAACGAAACATTTTGGCTCAATGATATAATGTGGACGAAAATATTCTTCTTTTAATATCTGTATTTAATACTGCGTGTGAATAACCGTAAACAATACGTATTGCCTTTATATCACACATATCGGTATTCGTTTAATGTGAATTTATTGTTATTGAAATTGTTTCAAAGTGTGTCCGTTCGCAATCTACTCTAAAACAACGAAACAAACGGGAATACACGTTGTCTAAATCAGTTGTATGATAGTCCTTGGTTTACACGTTATCACGTTGTGAACATATAGTCTGACAATATGGATTAATTAGATTTTTTGTTTCTTGAAGTTTCGGGCGTCGCTGGCCGACGTTTCTGTTTATGTTGACAAGTGGAACTGCCTGCACATGTCTTGCATTTATACCCACAGAAACAGGTATTGTATTGCGCATGCCCCGCACGTATACCATAAAAAACAACTCTCTTGCCAATGCCAATGAATGGTTATCGGTTGCGCCCTCTGGCGACATGATTTATGAAACTGATGTAATGTGTAAATAACTATGAATTTGGATGTCTTTCGATTCTGTTATTACTGCAACTTCACTGTCAGCAGCCACGATTTAAACAGTTTGTTTCGTAGATTTAGTCTAGCTGCTACAATGTATTTAAAAGTATACATTTAAACAGTCACATTAACTTATTTGTTGCTGGGAATTCTCTTTTTTTCTTAGATGAGGGCGCTAGTTTGGATGTTCTTCGAGTTATCATTTTACTGTTTGGGAAGTTTGGTATTACTGGTGCGTTTGGCACGATTTATGTATGGGTGGCAGAACTTTTTCCAACACTGCTCCGGTAAGTTTACTCATTATAACATTATATAAAACAACCACATTATATTAAGGACGAAAGTGATTACTGACACTGGTGTACAATATATGTTTAGTGACAATTCGTCAATAATATTGATAATGCGATTGGTATTATGTCTTTATCCGTGACAATTATACGTGTTTTCAAATCGTCGGAATATGTACTACATCTTCTTATACATTCATATTTAGGATAAATGTCTGATTTAAATTTTCTCTTTTTGTTCTAGTAATAAAGGACTTGGTGTATGTGCTTTCTGTGCCTGTGTAGGCGGTGTAATAGCGCCTCTAACGGTATATGTGGTGAGTACAAATATAATTTCAACATCCGGCGAAAATTGTCAATCAATACGTATTAGTATAGAGACTATAATATAAAATTGATTGCCATGTATCGATGTTATTAGAGATGTTAGTGAATAGTTCTCACCTGGTTAAACACATAAGTATGCAAAAACAGTTCGACAAATTATACGATTTACAACTTAAAGAGTCATAAAAGATTTTAGACCATTTTGTGAGCCCGAGTTCCTCTGAAGATATACATTTTGAACACATGATTATGCAAATCTGTGTAGCGTCCGCCCGACTCATAGTGTGTGTGAGTTTTCTTGTAAATACCTCTGCCAATGTTTACCATTATCTTATAGTAAAATACGGCTGCTAGGATGCTAACGGTAGTTAACGATCTGTTGGGGAACAAAGAAACTAGTACTAATTGGAACAAAAATAAACAATTTGATAAATGCTATCGAAGGTTAACGTACTGTTAGAACAACGGATGCAACCTCCAAAATATTAGTATTACAGAAAATCACCATAAAAAAGGACAGTTTCGTTCACCTCATTTAGTGGCAAATTGTAGTCTGCTTTTATACTTTTGTTGATTCGATGTAATTAACATCTGGGTGACAGTAAATATATTTAGAGAGGACAAATAAAGACAATATTAAACATCCTCGTGTACCCATTTGATTCGTAGAGGGATATGCTTCCTCGTAGCTGTACATTAGAGTAGGTTCCAAACTCCAGATTTACACCTTGAAACTTGGCTTCCAGAACAATATGTGACGAATAAACCGTACAGTATCTCCCATGTCAACGCCATTCCTGAAAATTGTTTTGTATTTACTGGCTTCAACAGAAAGGTATTTAAAAAAATGTTGTAAGTGGAAAACCTTTATAATGTAAATTGCTTCTCTATTTCTCGTAGGCATATTATAATATTGCAATACCGATGGCTGTATTTGGTGTACTTTCTCTTATCAATAGCGCCGCGGTACTGACTCTTCCTGAAACGAAGAATGTCCCGATGCCACGAACGGTAGAAGACGTGGCGAAGCTAAAATATTGGCGACAATATAATCGAGAATCTGTTAACTCCCTTAATGACGTTTCCACTCAGTCAGATAAAGGCACACAGACAAGCACCAACGAGTTGCCACTGTGCTGACGATGGGACACGACATTTTTATTTGTATTCTTTTTTTTTATTTTATATCAATATTTTGAAAATATTCAAATATACAGAAAATATACAGAAACGTGAAGCATGAATGATTACATATTTCAAGATAATCGAATATAGCAAGAAGCATAGCACCCCGTCTGAAAAGCAACGACCATGTTATTTTTTGTATAAGATTTCACCTCGGAGCATGTTCAGATTGGATCAAAAGTGGAGGCAAGGTATCGTGTGGTTGTTGTAAACACCCCTTTTTGAGTCAAAAACTGCATTGTAAAAAACAAAACTAGAAATACCTCCATAGCAACGAATACAGAATCCGAAAAGCATTTTAAAATATGATTGTTTGAAATCCCGTTTTATAGAATAAAGCAAAACAAATTGTATAATTTGCGACTGATATGTTGCCAGTGTAGTTAATTGAACCCGTCAAATAATTGGTATTCAATTATGTTGTCACTGATATGTTCCAACTGTACTTAATTGAACCCAGCAAACAATTGATATGTATTAATTAATTGGTTACTGATATGTTGCAACTGTACTTAATTGATCCTATCAAACTATTAATATTTAAATAATTGGTAACTGATATAGTACAACTGTAGTTAAATGAATCCAGAAAATAATTGACATTTAATTAATTGGTTACTGATATGGTGCATCTGTTGTTGCAATTAGTTGACATTTAAAAACGTATTGTACAGAACACGGTCCCTAGGGTTGTTGTACTTTAACTTGAGATATTTTTAACTGATCTACTGTCACAGACTATCGAATGTAATACAGTAAAGACCCACTATGAAATATGGTGTCCACGATGTAGTGTTCAGCGACCAAGTATATCAAATAGATATGCCAATAAGAAAGTTGTACATTACGAGAAAACTATAAGTAATACATAAAGCGTAAATGGTTATTACACTTCGCGTAGCCTGATCTCTCTGCAAAGTGGTTTCAAAATTTGTATACTATTACAAGATACTGAAATATATTGTGATACCAGTGGTGGATTGGTAGTCGAAACAATAGACCAGTGGCTAATCTCATTAAGAAGCCTAAAATGAGAGTGTCACGCGCAACGTAATATTACCGTAATTGGTATAGTACAGGTGTGATGGTTCAAATACCAAAATGGCAACAGTAACAGAAGACTTCCCTGGTGGCGATGATAAAATACGCACACGGAGCCAACAGATGAGGTTTCAACTGGTACTGGTATTATTATACTCTGCAAACATCAAGTACAATAACGCGGTGAAACTCCACTACTCCAATGACTAGATACTTAAACTCCAATACAATTCAACGAGATCTCCGACCTGATCTCAGTGCTGAACAACTCCCCTATATATACCCACACTGTCTATAAATAGACCATTACATCAGCATACATAATGAGTCTGGAACTTACTACAAATTTCTAGAATGTTTCATTACCTTCTATTGCCTCCTACAGTGTTCTATTACCTATTCAACCAGTTTCTAAAAATTCCACCCAGACACAGTACGGTTCTAGAACATTCTCAGTCACACGGAAGTGGTAAACAAGTCGTATGCGACAGAGAGCAACCGCACATGAGGTATAACAAGCCACATCCAAAATGTTATTGGTTCCAAACATCTTTACTTTCAGAAAAATATGGATGTGGAGGATATAGTTTGTTTCCTGGCCCGTTTCCATGGCAACCAATACAACATCGAGCTACACTACTAAAATATTAATTTTAACTGCATTTATTCTCATCATAGAAATGTGAAAGTGTCAAACAAAATAAGCAAACATATGCTAATTAGCATAAATTTATAAAATAATTTCCATTGATTGTCTTTTTCTCGATTTATGATTTCATATATTAAAAAAACGTATTCATGAAAAAGTACAGATTATGTGTTTTGTGTCTCCGATTTTAACATATTAACCAAATACTTTTATATATGTTATATATTTGTATCGACCATATATTCAGATTTTATGTTTTTCATTATTTAGTTTGTACATAACTGTTCCATTTTCATGTACATTTAGAATACAACTAGTACTCGTACAGTACAACATGTTTAAAAACAAATTGAAAACGATATATTCACAATGACAAAATCAATTGTTACTTGCTATTAATCAATACTGTCAATGTCTGACACGACATCGTTACTGGTATTGTTTGCGCAATATTCATGGTATGCATATAACTATGTGCATTTGAGTTCTGTTTGTAGAAACTGGACCTGTTACAGTCTTGGTCGGTGCAGTAAATGTGCTTCTTTTCCCGTGGTACCATCATCATGGAAAGGAGAACGAGGCACTGCTGCAAGTTCATGTTCGAGGACTGTTTGCAGATTCACATCTCGCTGTCTAGAAACAACCAGAAGCTGACGAAACAGCACCTCTGAATCAACAATCAATTAATGTTTTGCACTAGTCTCATTTTGTGGAAGTATTTGTGCTTCCGTATACCATTATCTAGGAATTTAGTTAGGCTTTTCTTTATATATACTGAGGCCAATAATCCCGCGGCAATATTGCTCAGCTGTGAAGGAATGGTCTCAAGATCGAATGGATTCTGGTACTGAGAAATGGTTTCCATGATCTTATATATTGCGTTCATCATTTGCTACCCTAGACTTCCTAATTCTTATTCAGGCTGTGAATTATTGGTCACGGTGTTACAAAGCAACTTGAATGCTTCAGACATTAAGCAGTTAACATGCCTGGTAATCAGCCAGCGTGAAAAAGCACTTTTGTGGCGTGTTAAGCGTATCACACCTTTACTTTTCTCCATCTCTATTCACAATCTGCAGTTGGCTGACCTTCTGACCCCAAAATTCAATATCAAGCATGTGTTTGTAGCTTGCAGGGTGATCCTGTTCCAATGATTGCATATCTGCTACATATGTGGGTATGTAGTTAGAATAAGTTTTCACCAGCTGCAAATAACTACGAAATCGTATACATACAGCATTACAAAGTTAGAAAATTAATTTACCATTATATATTTTTGATTGCTTTTCTAGCAACTCTTAGAATTCCTTAACCCTGACATCTTGTGTAAACAACTGCTGTCATAGCACATGTAGTTATGTCTATTGCATGAACAATGTGGATTCCAACATCTTGTGGTTTTTGTAGTCCACTCGGAATGTATATATCCTGTGCTTGTTGATGAAGTGCAGCTGGTGGAAGGAACCTTATAACTTCGTCATACGAGATACAGTGGCCTAAATCATTCTGATAGGAGTGTGACAGTGTTGACCGATTTCTTTTTCGACAACACGCTTACTCTAAATGTATTCACAATCTCTCTAAATACATTATCATAAGGTGAGGGTTGTAGATCCATGGCTTCCAACACTGACAAAAAACTATGAGAAAGTTCTAAAAGTTGTGTGAAGAAACGGAACGAACGAAATATAATCATGGTTAACATGATGGTAATTTATAAAAGTAATAACAATCTTAAATGAATTAAGTTAATAACATAATACAATCATTATTACAGACATTTAATTATCCTTGGTTATCATATTTACTGTATTTGAGTATTACATGATAACACAAATATGAACAATACTAAATATAATTTGAATGAATTTAAAACAAGTGATACAATGAAGTGTGTATGTGCTGGACCAAGAGACGGCGAAACGAAATTGTACATGGGGATGGGGGTCTGCTCACCAACATGACACAAAAGGTTTCAGCTAGATTTTGTAGGGTTAAGCCCCAACATTATTTTCGAGGGTGACGCCCCACCCCGTTGCCGCCACTGGGTGAACCTATCTTACTAATGTACATTTGTACAATTTATGGGACTTTCCTTTGAAAATAAACTGTAGCTGTGATATACACATATTAACACGATATGAGAAACACAAATTTCTAATATAAGATTGCTCCAAAATCAATATCAACCGTAAACAGACAGTCAAGCAGTATTGTTAATTTCGTATACAGAATTATCTACTTTGTCTCGTCCCTGATATGATGCGTAACGTTGATAAGGACAACTACCAAAAATTACGATAATAGCAAGTATTATTTTGTGCACCAGTCGTAGTCTCAATCTACTCGGTGTTTATGGATTAAAATAAAAAACAAAACAATACATAACATGTAAAGAATTGTGCATTGAAAGTTTCACCAACTTGAATTATGAGCTATGTGACTGAATTCGAACTTCTAGGAGAATAAAAGTTTCACGACCAGCAAACATACAATACTAAAAAACTCGCCACATCTCATTTCATCATCGACTTAAGACTTTTCAAACATGTCGAATCTTGACAAATCTGTCTTTGTCTCGACTGAAAACTATGCATTCATAGCGTTTGTGCCTCGTGCCCAAAACGCACAGATTACAATAATTTGAAGAAAAAAAATTGTCTCGGTTTAAAGCCCTGTCACACGACGTACAAAGTAAATAGGTTAGTTTCACCAGATTTAATAACCATACACAAGAAAATCGTGTATGATGTACCAAGTACTTAATGAATTATTTAAGTATAAGTGAACAGATTTTCATGTACCGGACCAATTTTTCCGGACCGATTTTCATGCAGCAGATCGAATGCATTACGAATGTCAGATGTCAGATGACAAGATATCTGTGGAACAATTATAACTTTGTTAATTTATGCAAATAAGGTAATTAGTAAGCTCAAAATGTTACTCTAAACTGAACGTGTATATGGCTAATCCCTAAGCATCT